ACCCATCCTGGCCCACACTAACACAAGAAGTCCAGAGCACTTGTGACACCGTGCCTGGAACTGGGCTCCCTGGAGGGGAATTCAAGTTACTCCTTTTCTCCAGGCAGATAACCATTACCCAAGCTCTCAGGTCTGGCATAAAAAGGAAGAAAGAAAGAAAGAAAGAAAGAAAGAAAGAAAGAAAGAAGAAAGAAAGAAGAAAGAAAGAAAGAAAGTTTCTTATTAGCCACAGAATATATATCTGTGGTCAAACCTACATAGATATCCTGATGCAATTTGGTGAGAAGTTCAAAACTAGATGGGTATAGTGGTGCATGCCTTTAACACCAGTGCTTGGGAGGCAGAGGCAAATTAATCTATACGAGTTTGAACTAGCCTGGTCTACATATCTAGTTCCATCTAGCTCCAGTACAGCCAGCCAGGACTGTATAGTGAGATCCTGTCTTTAAAAAGAAAAGAATTTAACTGGGCAGTGGTGGCATGTACCTTTAATCCCAGCACTTGGGAGGCAGAGGCAGGTGGATCTCTATGAGTTTGAGGCCACTCTGGTCTACAAAGTTGTTACACAAAGAAACCCTGTTTCGATCCCCTGCCCCCCAAAATACCCGCACTCAGTAGAGGCAGGTAGATGTCTGTGAGTTCGAGGCCAGCCTGGTCTGCAACAGGAGTTCCAATACAGCCATGGCTACACAGAGAAGGCCTGTCTCAAAACAAACAAACAAAAATTACATAGAAATAAAGACCTGAAGCAAAATTTTAGGTCTGTAATTTGAGCTCTCGTTAGACTAGATTAGCAGTCCAAGGCCAGCCTTAGCTACATAAGTGAATTTGAAGGAGACTGAATGGCAAGGGGTATATGGGAGGGTCTGAAGGAAGGAAAGAGAAGGCAGAAATTTTGTAATTAAATTATAATTTCAAGGGGATAGAAAGATGGTTCAGCAGTTAAGAGTACTGGTTACTCTTCCAGAGGACCTGGGTTCAATTCCTAACACTTACATGCCATATCACAACTGTCTGTAACTCCAGTTCCAAAGGATCTGCCACCCTCACACAGACAAAAGTACAGGCAAAATACAAATGCCCATGAAATAAAAATATTACAATCTCAAAAATGAAAAAGGTGGTGAGCACTTAATTCAAGCATTTAGGAGGTAGTAGATGTCTGTGAGTTTGAGGCCAGCTTGGTCTACCATAGTGAGTTCCAGGAAAGCCAGGGAAACATAGAAAAACCTTGCCTCGAACAAAAAACCAAAACAAAAAAAAAGCAAGTTGGTTTGATTCAGGGAAGTGGGAGGTGAACCTGACAGAAAGTATCTTTCCAGGTAGCTTTAAAGGTTACATTGTCATTTCTGCTACAGTGTATTCTCCCCCAATCCCATCCCTAGAAGTTTATTCCTGCTATAGTATATTCTCTCTCTCTCTCTCTCTCTCTCTCTCTTTAAAAAAAAATGGAGAGAAAAAAAAAAAGAATGGGTTTTACATTTCTGTGCAGCAACAAAGCAGGTCTGTTGACCCAGCCATGCAAACCCACTAGAAAGACCACCTGTGTGATCTTGGAAAGCACTTGTGGGGCATTGTGTGTGTGTGTGTGTGTGTGTGTGTGTGTGTGTGTATGTGTTTGAGACAGGGTCTCACTGTTGAGACTGTGGTTGGCCTGGAACTTGCTATGTAGGTAGCTATTAGACCAGGCTAGCCTTGAATGTATCACCATGCCTGGCCTGGAAGTAACTTTGTACCTGAATTTCTGTTTCTCAAATGCTGGGATTACAGGCATTTGCCACCATGCCTAGTTGGCACACTCAATACCTAAAGTCAGAAGTAAAATGCTATCAAATCTTGCCACTCAGGAAAAAAATATTAACACAATGAGGAGTAATTTCTTTTCTTTCTTTTCTTTTGTTCTCTTTTTTGAGACAGGGTCTCGGACTCGCTATGTAGACCAGGCTGGCCTCAAACTCACAGAAATCTGCCTACTTCTGCCTCTCTGATGCTGGGATTAAAGTTGTGCACCACCATGCCCTGCTTATTTTCATTTTTTGTTTATTTGTTTGTTTTTACAACACAAGTTTTCTCTGTGTTACATACAGATCCGGCTGTCTTGGAACTCACTCTGTAACCAGGCTGGCCTGGAACTCACAGAGATCTGTCTACCTCTGCCTACCAAAGTCGTGCCCAACCACTGCCCAACCATTTCTTTTAATTTTTTTGAGACAGGGTCCAACTATGCAGTCCTGGCTGGCCTGGAACTCACTATGTAGTCCAGACTAGCCTCAAACTCACAGAGTTCCACCTGCCTCAGACTCTTGAGTGCTAGTCTTAACAGCTTGTGCCACCATGCCAGTCTGAGAAGTATTTTTCTGACATCTATTATAACTATATTACCATGCTGTTCTATATATAAATGTGATCCTTCTTCTTCTTCTTCTTCTTCTTCTTCTTCTTCTTCTTCTTCTTCTTTTTTTTTTTGGTTTTCCGAGACAGGGTTTCTTTGTGGCTTTGGAGGGTGTCCTGGAACTAGCTCTTGTAGACCAGGCTTGCTGGTCTGGAACTCACAGAGATCTGCCTGCCTTAGCCTCCCGAGTGCTGGGATTAAAGGTGTGTGCCACCAAGGCCCGTCGAGATCCTTTTTTCTAAGTCCAAAAAATGTCTGTAATTTTAGTAACTACCTGTTATTGTATTGTACTATAATTTAACTATGGTGCATTTTGTTAATGCTACGGAGAATTGTACTACTAATCTATTTATTCTAAGTCTTACTGGGACAGTTTTCCTTTTAGAAGTCTGTGACTTCTAGATGTTAGGCTACTGAAGATCTGATTCTATAAGAACGGGGAATATAAGTCTGTGGGGGAACCTTTTCCATCATATCAAGAAAAATAACTGTTTCAGCAAACCAAATTAATTGACACTTTTAATTAGTAAAATGTATGGTGGAGAAAGCAAGAAACATTAAACACGAATTAATCATGGAATAACTGTGGAGAACTATGCTGGAAGCCAGACCATTTCAGCCAAGGTGAAGAGGCCTCCAGCCCAAAGGAACTCTGGACAGTTAAAGCGTGGTGAGAATTGTGGTAGAGAGACTGTACTTCGGGCATGTGTTCCATGTCTCAAAATCTGACATTACACTTCCACCTTGAAAACAGCAAATTTAGAGTCCCTTATTCACAAATCACACTCATTCAATTCTGAAGAAGAGCAACAAAAGCAGAAACACAAAAAAGTGTCTCTGGTTCTATTCTTTCCCAAACTCTGGAATATTTTAAAACTTTTCTCACAGGTTAATAGTGACTACCTTCCGGTAGCGCGACATTGTCCCTCAGAGACTACAAGTTCCAGTAGGCTGCACACGGGGAGCAACGGGTACTCTCCCCCAGGACGCCCCTATCCAGTTCTGTGGCTGAGCGTTGTGGCCGCATAGCCTTCTGGAACTTGTGGTCTACTCTCTTTTCCTGTCCGCGCAGACTCAAGAGGCCTCTGTCTGCCCTTCGGCCCTAGCAGAAGCTCAGCCCAGAATTCCCCACCCCCTTCAAGCTGCCTTCCCTTAGGAGCCAACCTCCTCCGGTCACGTGGTAGACTCTCACGATGCTATTGGCTGGGGTGTGAAGGGGGCGGGGCTGAAGCCCCTGCGAGGTTCCGTGCCCCTGGTCCAGCCGCTTGTTTGGCTGCTGCCGTCACCTCATGGCGACTCGGATTGAGGAGGCAGCGCGGGGAAGAGGCGGCGGTACTGAGGAGGCTACTGAGGGCGAAGGGGGCGAACGGCGAGGCAGTCCCAGGCAGAAGGTCAGTGGAGGGGATGCCTTCGTTGTGGTTGGGTCGCGGGAATGATTGGGTTACCTTTTTCGGGGTTCACCTCTTCACTTACCCCCTTTACCTTTAGCCACGGGACGAACATCCGGCCCTTTTCCCTCAGAGGAGTGACGATAGTTGGGAGCAGGTGGGGGGTGTGGGACTGAAATGGATCGGGTGGGAAAGGACGACGGTTGGGACTTGGGGGCACTCGGGGGGAGGGGGCTACAGGAGGGCAGGGGGGGCAAAGGGG